TCAAAAAGTGGGTTAGTTGTGGAATAGAGCTGAATGTAATCTAGGGTAGTCCAGTTGCACAGCTGCTCGTTAAGTACCTGAATCGCGCGTTGCAAGCGTTTATCGTCTAGTCGTATAAAGCGCAAGTCTGGACTGTCTAGCCATACCGGCGTTCGAATTATACTGTTTAGCGGCGAAACCGGATTTTGGATGATGACTCGGTACAGCGATTCTTCTGTATGTGCGTTTTGACGTCTTCTGGTTTGACCTGCAGTACTCGTTCCTGGGCGTAGCGACACAGCGTCTTGATCGCCTCCTGTACTTCTGGAGCAGTCTTCACAGGCACTTGTACTCGGAAATCCTCCAAGTAATGTTTCCACTGTTCGTGAGCTTCCACATCCAGTATGTCCTCCGTGTTCCACAGGCGCAGCTCCAAGGTATTCGCGCCAATCGGCTCCTGCCACCGCAAAGTGCTTGAGCCGACGGGGGTTTGTAGCAAGATACACGTCGAGACGCCAGTAGTCCCACCCGGTGGCATTACTAGTCCAAATCGAAGCGCGATTTGGTCGACGGTGGATCCCATAGAAGGCAACGCATCGGCACGATCCGTTTGACCATGCGCAGTCGTGGACCACGTGCACGTGGGGGTTTTCGGCATCCGTCGAGGTGAAAAGAGACGGCTGTGAATGCGAATCCTGACCGGGAGTCCTCAAAGCTTCGCGAGAGCGTTTGATACAGGCTCTCAGCTTCTCCAAGACTTCCAACGGGAATAACATCGTGCACAATTCTTCGTCTCTTCGGAACCCGTCGTAACTCCTCTGCCCATCTGGCTGGAACCGGAGGGGATTGGTAATCTTCATCCATTCCCGTTCGTGCTGCTCCTGATTGGGATATATCGTCTCCTGGTATTTGGTCCAGCGCTCTAGCAAGGTACGCAGAGAAATCCAATGGTTGGACATACTGAGTGGCAAGTCCTGAGTCACCTTCTCGACGAGTTCGTCCATGCTGTCCCTATAGACATGTGGACCATCAAACATATATTCTAGCAGAATGTGTAGCGGTACCTGGTCATGATGATCCACCTTTTGACGTTCTGGCTTGGGCGAATCTCGCTCCATTGCGTCCTAAACAAGAAACGGCGTTTAAATTTCTGCAAGTGGCAAAAGGAAAGTTTGAATTCCCCGCCTTATGTCTGCGCCCGTACAAGATTCAAAGCTTGCCTAGTGTAGTACATCTAGGCACAGAAAGGAGAAAAATTCAAACAGGGCATAGTAAGATGGCTGGCTTACCTGATATCGGTCTGCTTCTAGGTCCACCCGAGCCCTGCAGACTGATTTCGCTCCTATAGTAGGGCTTCTTATATACTCACTGATCATGTGACCTCCAGGGTTTTTCCGAAGGTCGTCTGTTGCTAGGCGGAAGCTTTTAACCACCTTTTCTTGGAATTTACTTGACATTGATTAATTTTTCTGCCTTTTAAGCAGCTTCTCCAGGAAATACCACACATTGATTAATTCTGTCTGCTTTTTAAGCAGCTTTACCAGGAAATGCACGACATTGGTAAAGTTTGGTATGCTAATTTAACCTTGACTAACTTTGTCTTTGGAACCAGCTCGGGTATATAAAACCGCACGGTACTTGGGACGACTACACCGACGACAAGGACCACAACAAGAGGCTCCCCTGCTGCAGGAGATAGGCAGATGGAAGGAACCGCCGAAAATCCGGTGGCCCGGGGGGCCAAAAATTTGACTTTGTCCAATTGGCCCGAGTGTGGTATCATTGAAGAGAGCTCGAAGAATGCTGCTCGGTGGTATAGTTTGTTTTTGGATTTGGCCCGGGCCAACTCTTTGGACCCAATTTTGGGCGCCTAAATGTGGCCCTACGCAGTCGTGTTGGGTACCGTTCGATTTGTCTCTTTGAGCCCTTTCCAACGATACCAATGTCGACCAGTATCGGCCCGGTCCAAATTTTGGCAGTTTTGCAAAATTTCGGGTGTGGCCCTACCCCGGCGTGTGAGGTATCAAACGAAAGGTCTCCGCGAGTACTATCCCGCAATTCACGTCTGGTTTCGCTGCGACCAATAAGAAGCGAGATGCAATTTGTCAAACGTTTGAATTTGGCGCCAAAGTGCACGGGTTGCCAGACTGCCTATATGAAAAGTAGATAAACTTGGCATAATTATTTTGTTTTAAGCCTAGGTTGGCGAGAGTGGTCGAAAGCTAAAATCGAGCTCTACGTAACGGTGCAAGTCAGGACATGCTAGGCCTAGCGGCTCCCTAGTTACCGTTTGTTGTGTCGTAGCTGTTGTCGGTGTTATTAAAAAAAGTATATATATATCTTTTTATGCAGATCTACATCGACGACGACATCCCCGAGGCGTCCGAGACGGAGAGGGAGTTTGGTTCGAGAGAGAGGGCATTGGAGCGAGCCGTGGCACTCAAAGACGCAGTTTTGACTGCCATCATCAACCTGATGGAAGAATTTGAAATTGAAATTTTAATTGAACAGGAAAACCGGCTGAATTGCAAGCTATCGCAACAAGCCGAGGAGTGGTTCATAGCATGCGAGGTCATGAATGGAAATTTCAATCACCTAAATTTAGTACAAGAAGACGACGAGACTGAAGACCAATTTTTGGAACAAGCAGGAAACGAAACGAGCATTGAATTGAGCAGAGTTTACGCTTTTATTCAGCATTATAAAAGCTCTAGAACCGAATAAAGATTTACGGTTCAAAAGGAACGAGGTGAGATGATGTCTTGGGAAGGTATGTGTAGTGGCCCAGGTGCGTCTGCCGGTTGTACGGCACGTTGTATTACACTTCTGTTTTTCACCACATTTGCAGTAAATGAGGCCGTTCGTCTTTTGCTATTAAGGGGAGATGCAAATCGAGATCAACTATTTTTATTTAAGAATTTTGTTGAGTCATCAAATCACAAGCATTGATGCCTGTAGTGAGCAAGGCGACATAACGGTGTGCCAAGGCCTACTGTTGAAAGGACCCCGGCTTATCATTCCCAAGTGTCTTCGAGCAGAGATGCTAACGCGGATCCATGAGGGACATCAAGGGATTGTACGATGTCGAGCACGGGCAAGGGAGTCCGTTTGGTGGCCGGGAATCAGCAGGGCCATAGTAGACATCGTAGACAAGTGTGCAGAATGTGCGATGTACAAGAATCAAGCTCGAGAACCGATGTTGTCGTCTCAAACGCCAGAATTGCCCTGGCAGAAAGTCGCCGCTGACCTGTTCCAGCTCGATGGTGTGAACTATCTCCTGCTGGTTGATTACCGTTCCAGGTATCCTGAAGTCGCCATTCTTCAGTCCTCCACTTCAGCAAAGGCTGTTATAGAGCGAATGAAGAGTATATTCGCCCGACATGGGATACCGGAGGTCCTAGTTACGGACAATGGTCCGCAATTTTCCGCGACAGAGTTCAAGAACTTCGCCCAGCATTACGGGTTTCAACATATCACAACAAGTCCGAGGTACCCCCAAGCCAATGGGGAAATTGAACGAATGGTGAAGACAATCAAGAGCTTTGTGAAGAAGAGTGCAGATGCTTATCTGGCGCTGCTTAACTACCGCAACACGCCAGGCCCTACAGGGCTCAGTCCCGCCCAACTACTCATGGGAAGAAGGCTCCGCAGCAGACTTCCCATGTATCCTGATCAACTGAAGCCCCGAACCTTCAACCAGTCAGCATGGAAAAGGAAGGATCAGAAACAGAGACAAAGGCAGAAGCGGAATTATGACAGGCGCCACAGAGCAAGACCACTGGCACCCCTCAAAGAGGACGATCCGGTTTGGCTTCCAGAGCTTCGCACGTCGGGCACGGTTGTGGGCCATGCTCAAACGCCCAGATCCTTGTACGTCGAAACAAGTTCTGGAACCCTGAGAAGAAACCGCAGCCAGGTGATTCCCCTGCCGCAGCCGCAGGACTCGCCCCGGGAGACCTCTGGTGAAACGCGCAGTGCCAACCAGAACACAGCGAGATCTCCCGTCGGACTGCAGCATACGCGGTCGGGTCGAATCGTGAGACCTCCCAAAAGACTGGGATTTGATGACTGAACGTCGAGCTGACTAGTTCAGTTGTACATTAGGGCCATAGAACTTTAAAGGGAGGAAGATGTAGTGTTACTGAATCATTATTGGGTTTAAGTGGTTCAGCGAACGTCCGGGAGTGGGAGCGGTGGCGTGCTGGTTCCGAGCGCTGCCGCTGCGCTGCGACTGTATCGTTAGGGCTAGGAAAATAAAGAGTCAGCGAGTGCTGTCTGAGACACAACGGAGTATGGTCATACTTTTATTTATACGACAATGCCAAGCAATGCTTTTTTTAGATTTCCTCAGAAAACCTAGCGATCGTCCTTGAACTGACCGAGGGCAAGCCAAAGCAAGACATTTTCTACCAGACTGTTGAAAAGATGGATAGTGTTGAAGAATCCTAGAAACAAGGTATTCCTGCTTTAGAATTTGGCCTTCATTGACTGTTAGCGGAAGCGAAAGTCTCAATCCAGCTTTCTATTGCAACCAAATTGGTGCCAACTCAGTTCATGTGATAGGTGGGTGCAAATTATGCAAATTAAATTTGAGATGTCTAATTGTGAGCTGTACGACATCTGAAATTCCAATCGATGCTGTACATTATTTTAAATTGTGAGTGACCGTCTGTAGATGAGTCTGGCATTAAAAAGATTGGCGAATGGCTAGCTGAAAAGAAATATATAAATTTCCCCTATTAATGTCATGCTTCAATACAGCCTTCATATTTTGTGTTTCATTGCCATGACACTTGGCACTGAGCACAATAGACCATATGTGAAAATGAATAGCACCATCTGGTTTACTGTGTGCGAACTTCATATGTCCGCCATGTTGGGGGATGCTCCGCCGTACTGTCTGTACTTACCCGATTGCCCGAGCTTGCGTTCTAGCATTCTAGCCGCATTGGCTGCATATACGTTGCTGAAGCGGAAGGTGCAGGCTCCAAAAGTATGCCCCGGTACTGCTGTGTTCCGCAATGCGCGCGGAGTGGCTACAAAGATTCCTTCGGAAACAAGGTGAGCTTCATATGCGTGTAATTTTGTTATAGTGAACGGCCATCCGGCCATCGTGATTTGTTACAACTGTTTAGACTGTTCCGCTGTTTGTTGAATGCCTCGTGCAAGTTTCTTCTCACAGCAGAATGACTTCACCCGTACATGTACGTTTCTCGTGCACGCGCAGCCACTGCACCAAGAACGTCGTTGCGCTCGCGCTGAAAGCAAGAATATCGAAAGAGGGAGTGCATGCATAAAATCTCGTTTTAGCAGCTGCAATTAAGGGTTGATGCTTCGCACTATACTTCAGCGTGTGCCCAGAATGGTATCGAGAATCGAAAGATTAGGGAGCCATCGCTACCGCTCCAATGCTTGTGCCTGCTGGAGGTCATCTTTGACTCATAGTGTGAATTCAAAAACCCATCCCGGAAGCTCTAGCACCTCGGAAAGGTCCCGAGTCCAGTCCGATGCCATTGCAAGAACTAAAACTACAAAGAGTTTACTAGAAGAGGGCAAGAACATGCAGCAAAGAGCACGACACAAGATGACAAGACTCCCCCAACATGGCAGCGCGTCTTTCCCGAGTATGATGATGATGATAGCTACAAAGAATTTTGCATATGGTCTATTGAATGGATTAATTTTAAAAAATCTACTTGCATGGGCAATTAATCAGTTCATTAAGTGTGTCTATGTTCCAAATCTATTCTAGTGGATCACATGGGAGCACGAATAGAGCAATGCTGTGGAGCAAGGAGGGTTTTCAAAGGCTAAAGTACGAGACGGAGGGAATGAAAATCTTTGAAGCGCGGCCCATATGGTCGTGTGTTATCTGTTAACCAATCACAATTAGGCGAGCCGCGCTCAAACATCAAGTGCAATTAAGTAGGTTGATAACGAGTTAGCACTGATCAGTGATGAGGAGCTATTGTGAGCAGTATTCTGTAAATCGTCTAAGGACAAAAAAAGACGTACCTTCCCACCCTCTTCCGTCGACGCTGGATTAAGCTAGTTTCTGGACCGCGAGTGCCGAAAGTATACAGTCGTCAAAGTAAGACGCTGATCCAGAGGCCCATACAGCTTCACGCACATTGCACTTGCAAACCACATTCACACGGCGTTGATTCTTGATTGGTATCCAAGCGTGTGAAGGCACAGAGACGCAGTACTTCAGCAAGCCAAGGAAGCTTTGAACACGCTGCCAGTCCGGTGAAACTTGCTTTCGACAAGTTGTACCTTTTTCTTGCGGCACTGCGCTTTCGTAAAAATTTCCAGATGTTCTCAATGGCAAGTATCACGCCTTACACAGGATCTTAAACAATGTTTTCGGCGATGACGACCAACGAGTAAAAAAACGTGTCCATAGCACGCTGCCACCGGCCTCTGTAACGTTAGCAAAACGAGAGAAAAAAACGGCATGCAAGATGGCTGTCCGGTGGCCGCACTCGCAGAGCGGGGATACAGTGGCCTAGGATACAGGGGCCTAGAAGGGGTAGAGTGTTCACCCCCCTCTCTTCTCCGTCCTTTGTGTTGAAGACGCCGATGTCGCCTGTACTAGAGTCCACTAGGGGCACTGCCGCAGTGTCCACCTGAAGTTTCTCCCACCTGCGTAATGGTGCTCGGCTCTCCGTCTCCGCGAAAAGTGCCTTCCTCGTGGTTTGTTTGAGGAACCCACGATGTGTGTTCGCCGTTCACCTTTACAAATATGTGTCAGGTGTAAACGAAGATGCCTAGTCGCCGGCGAAACTATTGTTACGCGCCCGGGTGTCGGACGGGGCTACAGCCAAGTGAAAGACGCACCGAAGGCGCCGTTGTTCAAAGTACTGCAGGACGAGGAGCGACGTACGCAGTGGAAGAGGAACTTACATTCCGCGGAAAAGGAAAAGCGCTGGCCCTCCTGACGGTAGCTTATGGGATAAAGTTGACAAGCTGATTGAGTTTGGAGATTTACCTGCACTTGAAACTGTCCTGCCCTCCAGGCTCAATCATGACGAACATGTTGAACGAAGTGATTCACGGCTGACCTACTATATCGCAGGCTATGTTGCCCAAAAGTGTGTGATGAAGCAGGATTGCTCACCTTGTATGCAGGCCTCGACTGTTCCAGCACTCAGATGCACTTCAGGTCTAGCCAGGCTGACAGAGCATCGTGACAAAGGCGAGCTGCTGTACCCCACTGGTGTCCTTCTTTGTTTTGTGCAGAAACTCGAGAACTGGTTTACAGAGTGCTTCAGCAAGAATAAGCTGCAAACCGACAGTATCCTGGACATTCTCGCCATAGTGAAGTCTAGATTTTACCATGAAATCGGTTGCCAGGAGCATGCAGCTGCACTTACAGCCAAGGTAATTGGCTTCTACCTTACCACCCGCCTTTACTGTCTGATGAAACATGCGGGTCTCACTCGTGACCCGCGCGTTGCATTATGGAACTTCCCATAATGACGTCACGAGTGACCTCACGAGGGTTCTGCGCGTTGCATCATGGGACGTTTCCCAGATTAACGTCACGAGTGATGTCACGGTCACTTGTGAAGGTCACGATGAAGGTATGCCTGCTCCTTACCCTTCACTCCTCCTCCTTGGAGTGCGAACAAGCAATCACCGGTTTTTGCTGTTTTTCTCTCAGAATCATAAGGGTGCCATCAAAACTACCTGTGTCGTGGGTAGTACTCATTTGGGGCAGCAACCTAAGTGATAAAATTTGGTGCCCATTAATACCAGTTCGAAGTAAAATGGAAAAACAGCACCGACATTGTGTTTGCGCAAGCAGGTCGTGCAGTATACACCCCGAAAATTGAAGGGCAAGAACAGCCCGGTCACTCTTTCTCCGGGCGTATTCGAGGCACCACACGTGACAATTTCATCGCTGTGGCTGTCGATCACTTAAAGCTAATCTCGGTTGGTGGCGACTGTATTTGCTGTAGCAGCACACTTCTAGTTTTTTGTGCACTAGACTCCATTCTTTATTGTTCAACTTTGTACACAAGATACATAGGACGAATTGCCTAAAGACCCAGCTAAACATATAATTCATAAAAAGTACAAAACAAATTTCTGCTACATTTGTACTAACCCTAGAAAATTATTCCAGGTTGCAAGTGGACTGATGGTCAAACACGGCTCCTGATGGACATCTACGTAAGATTTAAAATTAAATAGGCCCCTTCAAGAGGTTTAGTAACCAAAAAAAGATGTATGCTGCCATTGCACATGAGCTTCAAACCATTATGAGCACCATCAAAACTGCTGAACAATGCGCGGCTCGTGTCAGAACAGTTTTGAACAGGAAAAAAAAAAGGTACTTGACAACAACAGGACACCAGGTGCTACTGGAGGCCTGTGCCATTTGAACAAGTTGAGCACATCAGGTCAGTGGATGACAGTGTGCAGCCACAGATCACATGGAAGGTTGAGGTGGTGTGGAGAAAGCTTCCTGTGGAGGAAGCGCGCAAACACCTGCCACGACAAATCACTCCGGATGATGGAGCAATGTCTCCATCACAGCCGTCGGATCTAAGGAGAGCAGCTTTGAGCACCAGCAGGAGTGCGGCTGCAATGAGCAACAACGGGGGTGTGGCTTCAACAAGCTACAAGAGGAGTGCAGAGCGCGAGCAGCGTCCCCGATCCTTGCAGCCAAGCTATGCCAGAATGGCAGAGTTCGCGGATGTGATCAAGAAAGCCAGATTTACGGCCTTGCCCAGAAAGGTTCAGGAGTGTCCTGCCCTGGGTGACGCAGCTTGTGTGGCAAGATTCCGCCTGCCCATCAAGGAGTGTTGGACCCTCCAGACGCCACCAGATGATCCCTGTGTCGTAGCACTTGACCAAGCTCAAAGCCTAGAAGAACAGACACGTGGCCAAAGCAGGAGCAAACTGTGGCACTCTGAACGAGGGAAAAGGATCACGGCATCCCAGTTCGGGGACACTGTGAAGCGAAAAGCTGCTGTGAACGAAAAGTACCTATGAAACGTCTTCTCTACATGGTGCAGTGCACCATATGAAGGCAGGGCTGAAGAATAAGGCAGCTGCCCTGCAATGCTACCAGACCAAGAAGAGGGTTCAAGTCTTCAGTGTTGGACTCTGTGTGAACCCCACCTTCCCATGCTGGGGGCATCGCCAGATAACGTGGCTTGGGATGAAGACATCCAAGAGTATGGACTCGTCGAAGTCAAGACTGCGTCTCAAGCGATCACTGCAGGTCTGCGAACCTTTGAGCAAGTGATATGGGCAAAGGTTTTTTTTAGATTTAATCAAAGAGGACAAGATGGACACCAATCGTAAGCACTATCACCAAATGACCGGGCAGCTTGCTCTCACGGGACTGGGATGGTGCGATCTTGTCGTTGATTGGGAAGTAGACTGTTGGGTTACTCGGGTGCCCTTTCACAAAGAACCGTGGGGTGATGTAATGGTGCCACGACTTACAGATTTTTTCTTTAAAGGGACCCTCCAACAGTATTTGAGCGTCGACTTTTTTTTGCGGTTTCTACACGCTAGTTGTCCCGGAAACCCAGTGGACAACGAAAGAGTTTGAAAATATTAGCGCATCATGTTTTAATTTGACAACTCGGAAACACCTCCTCCGACGGTGGCGCCGCGAGGTGCCGAATGCTTGCGCAAAGCGGCGCTCCCTTTCACTATACGTCACATTCTCTGGGTTTCGTGATTGGCGAGAGCCGTCCCAGGAATTTTGAAGCGAAATAAAGTATATCACACGTTATCCGTCATTATTTCTCAAACAAGTCATTTTTAAAGAGCTAATAAAGTTGCAAAGTAAAGTTCAAAAAGGGCGAAAACAGCCTTGTCGCTCATGCGCGCCTCCCAGCGGCATCCGCGACGTACCATCGCGAGCAGACGACAAGTGATCCGTGCAGACAACGCGCACCGTATTTTCACTTGTGCGCCCCCGGTCCCGGTCAACTAAAAGCAGTAAGAGGAGCGAGGGGAACCCTTATTTTCTTTTAGTGCTGTGACAGACTTTTCACTGTTCGAGTGAAGTGCGGCGACGCTCCCCAGTTTGTACCTCCTACTCGCCGAGGTGGCTCCAGTGGCGGAGTTGCGGGAGACGAGTCTTCCGCGGCTGTCGAAGCGGACTGAGGCAGAGACGCGGCGCTTGCGTGGAGTGTCCTCGTACGGCGTGACGCCCAGATCCGCCCTCAAAATCCGATAAGCCCGGTAAATTCATCGATGATGGCAACCCGATCCCAAAGCTACGATGGTTGCAACTAGGCCTAATGGCCGACGAGCCGACCGGGCCGACGGGCTATCAACCAAACTCGCATCCAATTGGCCAACCGCTTTGCTCTAATCGCTAAACTGTTTCATTTTACGTCATGAAGTGCACTGTTTTGCTTATTAAAAGTTGTTTTCTGCAATATTTAAATTGCTAATAACTCGCAAAATATTGCGAATTTCTGTAATATTTTTTTTCCTCGGTGTTCCTGCTTTCATGGAGCTCCGTTTCAGCGCAAACTTCAAACCGGTCAAAAAATTGTTGGTGGGCCCCTTTAAGCACCGAAAAGCCTGAGCAGCAACAAGAAGTGCATAATAAATCAGCTTTTGAAAAGTGAAAAATGTTTGCGTCAGATTTAGTTTCCAAAGCTAGAGATCATGACAGCATGCAAGAAATAATTGTAGCCGAAATTGCTGTGCGTATTCTTGTTAAAATGCAAAACAATTTACAGCAGTACTGCGCAACTGCTGTAAAACTAATCCGTAACTTTTACGTCGAATTAAGATGTTCTTGATTATGTGACTGTGTCATATAATCATGCAAGATTAGTCCTAAAGTGACAACTAATCTTGCATGATCACGTGACAGAGTCTTGATCATACATGATTGCAGTACATATATCTCTGACATGTACTGCAATCATGCCGCAGCTCTGGTGAACAACCTCCCAAAACAAAAGTATGGCAGATAACACTATCTGATATACTTTTGTTTTGGGAGGTTGTTCATCAGAGCTGCGGCACTGAGGTGTGGAGGGACAAGAAGGCTTAATCAGGACCCCATTTAAAACTTGGCTGCAATAAAACACCGAATGCGTTTCAGTTCGTCACAGGACCGAAGCATTCTGGTGGACAAGCTCTTCAAGCTCTCCACACGGTCAAACCGTGAGGCTGACCAAACAGCTATTTTGACAAAACTGAAGAGCTTGCCGATGCCCATTCCTAGCACTCTTGCCCCTCTGAGTGATGAGCCGACTGACTCGGATAACAACAATAGTGTGAGCATTGGTCTCGACAGTCCAGGATGTTGTCAAGGCTAACACCCACTACTATGTGGCAGGAAATACAATTGTGTGTTTCCTAAGAAGAACTGACTGCGCTGCCTGCTCCCCACTAATCTGTTGCCTGGAGGAGCCTCTCACTGACTGCAGCTATTTGGCTATGTTTATGAAACCAGATTCCACAGCTGTAAAGGTTGATTTTTGCAAGCCAACAGCTACTTATGCAGCATTTGTCGATCGCCTTGAGGTGCTCTTCCTTAGCAAGGTTCAATGAGTTCTGCACTCGAAGGGTGTCCTGGAAGCACTGGTACCTACTCCTCAAGAGCAGCTGCTCTCCTCCTCCCCATTTTGCAGCAAGTCTTCGACAACATCACCCACGCGCAGATCCTGGACTCTATTTCGGAGCTCGGGCTGAGCGACACATTTCACAAGTTCGTCAGCTCGTTTCTACGATCCAGGAAAGCCACGCTCAAGATTGGCGATCTCAAGTCTGACCCCGTGGGGCTGGGTCCGAAAGGTGCAGTAATCTCCCTGCTCTTATTCAACATTGCCATGTGCAAGCTATCTAAACTACTCTCCATAGTTGAAGGCATCAACCACACTCCGTACGCCGACGACATCACCATCTGGTGTGTCAGCGGTAGCGAGGGCGAGGTCGAAAGTGCACCTCAGGAAGCCCTTGACCAAACAGAACACTTTCTCACCAACACAGGCCTTAAGTGCTCTTCGACCGCAAGTCAGAGCTCCTCCTATACAGGCCTGCCAGGAGGGGGCCCAAACCAAAGGGCTGGATGCCGCTGTCCGAAGTTGACATAACGATCCGCACGAGTACCGGTAATCCCATTCCCAGGATGGACGCCCTTAGAGTGCTTGGCATGCCGATAGAATCGAATGGCTGTAACAGTCGAACAATTAACCTTTTCCGTCTGCTCTAGAGATGGCCAAAGTATTGCTCTCTCCAAAGTCGTTCTGTTTGAAGTGTGCAGCTTCACTATTCATGCTACTGTTTCCATCCAAGGAACTGTTCTGCAGCAGTCGACATTGCACACTGGTGCCGAATCCAACTCCATCCTCAAAAAAGCAGATATGTTGGTCCCCTGCAAAGGTATCGCAGTTGAACAACGGTACCGTCTGCTCCTCACCAAGATGATGACCCACAAGACCCATGGCGGTAGCCATTTCAGCTCGAAATGTGCTGGTGTCAGGGCTGGGCAGTATCGCGATACAAATGTATCGCGATACAAATGTATCGCAATACAAATGTATCGCAATAGTATTTTAGAAATACGTTTCGTATCTGTATTTCTGTATCGCGATACATTTTTTCACCAGTATCTGTATTCCTGTATCGAAAAACATTTGAAATGATTCTTTGTATCGCGATTCAATTAGTATAAAGTGTATTTCGTTACATTTCTTTAGAAATACCACCCCCACCCCCTTTTTTTTCCAGAAAAAAAAAATGTCTAAACGTTTTTTTTCTTTTTTTTTTACTTTTGCATGAGGGCACTTGCAGGGTCAAGGAGATGCTGGGGCATTGTTACTATGCTGACCAAGGTTCCTCACGATTCTCCAAACAATTTTTCTATGCATCCTCTTTTCTCCTCCGAGAAGTGTTGTGTAGTCGGGGACTCGAACCAGGTGGCGTGCCAGAAGTGGAGTCGGAGCATCTTCTGCCATGGTCCTTAGGTAGTGATTTCTTGAGTCATTGTTTGCTGGCTTCCAATGCCCGCTGCTAACCGTCTCTCTTGCCTTAGCGTACACAGTACACCCAGCCGGCAAAGCAGAGTCACAGTCAGGGGCAGATTCAGAGAGTGGGGATCCGGATGTCCTGACCCCCGTCTTGAATTCCGCATCTATAAAAATTTAGGGCGTGGAAACGGGCTGTATATATCGCACAGCTCAAGGGTACGTCATCAGCCGACATGAATGTGACGCGCTGCTCTGGTGATCCGAAACCCAGAAAGGAGGCCAAACATGGCCTCGCTGTGCTGTCCCAGACTTCGTAGTACGTACACCTGCGACTCGTCTCGAGCACGCTGTTTCTTGGAGAGCTTACACCTGTGCCGGCAATATCAGGTCGCAATCCACGGCGTCTCTGCTTGGGTGATGCTAGGCAAAACTTGAGGACAATCTATGCATCGGCGGCGGAGGGTCGGCAGGAAGGACCTTCACAACAGGGATGCCACCGTATCGTTTTTTTCAACCGTAACAGAAGAGTTCCAGGATGCTTCAGGTGATCACCTATTCTCGAAAATTCCAAATGACACTGCCTGGACGATCTTGAACGAGGTAACCTACAACGAAAGTATGTATTGTACTTTCGTACAGCAGCGTGGTAAAGTTTCATGTTCAAGGTTACACCTACAGATAAAGAATACCAGGTCATTCCACCTAACGTCATGCGATCAATGTTGGCAGGGACGTCCTTATTGTTAGGGCGTGGTGAAGTTTTGAAAAGATTTAGGGTGACATAGAATTTATTTAGAGGTCGAAGTCTTTTCGCATCTCTCTTCAGACAAACAGGATGTCAGGGAAGGGACCGCGGTCAGTCCTTGATAGAACGTTTTTTTTGTTTTTTTTGAGCCCATTGAAGACTTCTTGTTGTCCAAAACCACTACCTTCAAGGCAAAGTGCCAAGCATATACGGGAAAGTAATTTCGGGACCAAAAACTTCCACTTCAAACTTGAAGCTTCATCTCAGTTGACGTCTCAAACAAATGTGAAAAATGT